CGCGGGAACGAGCATTGCAGCGTGGAATTTCGGCGCCGTGGCCTCGGCCGCGGCGCCGAAAAGTTGCGCGGCAGTGCTCGCGGCCCGCGCGCCCCTCTGGGCGGGGCCCCCGCGCGCCCGTCGGCCCGGCCTCGCGGCGCAGGGCAGCGCGGTCTCGGGAAAGGGGCCCCCGGGCGCGGCGAGCGGGCGGGGGGGGCGCGGAGGGCGGCGAGGGGAAGGAACCCAAACCAGGCGAGCCAACTTGTCCTGGGAATGCAGGGTCCGTGCTGCGACTGAAATTACCAGCCTCGAACTCATCCCTGCCCCTAAGATTGACACGCCAAAAGGCGATGACAATCTTAGGGGTGCGCCCTCAAAACATAAGGGAATCCCTAAGATTGGCACTGTAATGAGGCGATGCCCAGCTGAGCCATAGGGATATGTTCCAGGCTGGCAATGAAAGTCCGGGGCGAAGCGGGCCTAGCGAAGCCGCGCCGCCCGCGCAAGGCGCGCCGACTCGCGGCCCCAACGGGGCCCATGGGGGTCATTTTTGAACAGCGAGGGCAGAGCGGCGCCCGAATCGCGCCCTTCATGGCGGGTGGGAACGATCCCACCGCCACCCGCGAAAACACAGGAACGCCCAATAGCGCCCGCGACTCGGGCCAGGGCCCCGCAAAGAGCTCATGCCAGATTCGTCATTTAAGGTCCTTGGGGTATCATTCAGGAGGAAAAAAAAACACACACAGACACAGTGAATCGTCGACCCTCCAGAAAATATGGGAAAATATGGGAAGTGGGGGTGGAGGCGAAAAACCAGAAAATATTATAACATATGGGGAATATTTCTATTTGTGTGTACTCATTTGTGTGTCCCAGGGCCCCTTCATTCATGTGCGTTCTGCCGCCCGCCAGACCTCCTCTTCGCCGCGAAAGAATGCAGGCGGGCGTCCGTTCCCCAGTCTCCACGCGCGAAGAAGGCCCTGCCTTGGGCCTCTCGGCGGTCGCGCTCGGCCCGCCGCCAGCGCACCGCATTTTTCCGCGGGCGCGGTCGCGAGATCCACGGCGCGCGGCGCGCGGCGATCGCGACGTCGGAGGCCCGGGCGCCCCTTCCGCCCGTCGGGGCCGAGACAGCGCGGGGCTGTTTGGAGGGAGAGAGGCGCGCGCTCGCGCCTGGGAGCGGCTGCAGAACGAGTCGCGTGCCGAAGTGCTTCTGCGCGCGCCGTCGTGGCTTCCTCTCCTCCGTGCACCCGCTGCGCCCTCCCCTCTGTTCCTCGTTTTCCGTCTCTCTCTTCGGTTCCCCCCGTTCCCCTCGGGATGTTCCCGTTGCCCCTTTCCTTTTTCCCCGTCTCCTGGATCCTGCCCCCCCCCCCCCCCCCCCCCCCCCCCTTTCCCCCCGCCTTCCTCCGCCTCCGCCCCCTTCCCCCGTCGGCGCCCCCCTTCCCCGCCGGCGCCCCCCCTTCGCCCCCCGCCCCCCCTTCCTTTCGCGCTCTTCCGCGTCGCCCCCTCTTCCATTCACTCCCCCCCCCCCCGCTTGGAATCCCCCCCCTCGAAACGCGTCGCGCCCCCCATCGCCATGTCGCGCCGCGCGGCACGCCCGACAATCTTGCGTAGACGCATGGTTGCATCTGCTCATGCGCGGGATTCGCTGTTCGGCGACAGTAGGATGTAAATCGCATTCGGCGCCGGGCGCGCGTCGGCCGCTTCGTCGCCGCCGTTAGTTCCCCCTATTATCCCCGCCGTTTCCAGTGCCGGTGCGCGTTTCATCCCGCTGTTTTTTTTTGTCGTTTTGCCTAGGTGTTCTGCCTCCCCCTTCGCTTCCCTGCCCCGTCGCCACGATCAATCGCATGTGTCCGAGCGCTCGCTGCGGCGGTCGGGGCGGGCGCAGGGCGGGCCGCGGCGGGGCGCGCCAGAGCAGTCCTCGCAGCGGTCGCGGAGCGGCGCGCGCGTTCAGAGGCCAGCGCGCACCCGCGCTCTGGTCGCGCCCGGAGCGAACGGCATTTCCAGGTTCGAACCCGCCTCGCGGCGAGAGCGGCGGCGCGCCGAGAGAAAACTTGCCCTGGAGAGCGGCGGCGCGGGTGAGCTCGAGGCGCGCGCGTCCGACTCCTCTGCGAGGCTTCGCGCTGACGCGGGGCGCGATGCTGCGTGGGGCGGCTGGCCCGCGCGCGCCTGCGAACGCTTTGGGCGTTCGTTGATGGGGGCGTCGCGCGTGTCTGAAGGATCTTGCGCGCGCGCAAGAATGACGCATCGCTGTCATCGTAATTTACGCAATGGCATCCAAAGGGTTGCATGTAATTCAGCGTTTGCTCGTGGGTTGGGCGGCGTGGATAATGTGGCGGCGGGTCAGAAATGCGGGGGCGGGGGGCAAGGGCTTCCCCGCGCCGCTAGGGCGCGGCCCGCGTCGAGGGCCGGGCCCGATCAGGCTTCGCGCCGCGCTGGGGTTCCGTGCCCTGCGCCCCTCTGATGACAGCCGGCTGTTCTGCGCGGCGCTCTCATGGCGAGTTCCATCCCGGATCCGCCCACTTCGGCGCGGTCCTCTCGGCGCCTACGGCGCGCCACTCCACGCGCGGGGGCCGCGCCGCGGGCCGTTCGGGGCGCCCGCGAGTGGCGCGAGAGGGGGTTCGTTCCACTGGGCCCGCCACAGAGGCCCGGGCGCTGCGAGCTTCCACTTTCATATTTATATAAGAGGCCTCTTCCCACCTACGACCAAACGACCCCCTTATCCGAGTTGTGGGCGCGTTTTCGCATGGCCCAGCTGACGGAATGGGACCCCATTTTTATAGGCGACAATGATTCGGTGGCATGCGGGATTAATTCGGGCCCCCGCTTCCACAATGCTGAGAATTCTACCTTTTGGGATTGGTTCTGGCAAGGGTGTGAGGGCCGTCTTGTGCGCGCTGTCAAGATCAAGCCCCATAAGGCCGCGCCGGATGCTGTTTTAGTTCGCCAAGGGCGTTGTGAGTTCTTGGCGGCCAACTTTGTGGCGGATGAACTAGCGGAG